TACTAAATAAATGAAGTTTTATTATTCGTAACTATTTATATGTATCCCATATATTGCCAAATTTACTGGTTCTTATTTAATCAATATAATTCGTTGTGGAATATTTATTTAAAAATGAATAACTTAGTCTTATAATTAATTTCTCAGTTATTTTCTTGGGATATTTATAAATAAACGATTGTTTTGTACATGGATTTTACAAGTAAATTGATTATGTACACAAAGCCATGTGAATGTAGTAATCATCTTAGCATTTAGATCACAGCTAAGAAGTAAAGAGAAGTAAATTGTCTTAACATTTTCAATAGTATATTTAGAAAATTTAAAAATATTATAAATGATAATATAATATACAGTACATGAAGTAAACAATTACCAAAATGTCTAACACTATCAAATGGCGCAAATTATGACTGTTTTACTTAATACCATTTTCTGGCATATGCAATTCTCTCAAATAATGCCTGTGTATGAAATGGGCTTGACCCGCACACGGAAAATATCTTTACGAGCACACACACACACACACAGGGAGGGAGGGAGGGAGGGAGAGAGAGAGAGAGAGAGAGAGAGAGAGAGAAACACACATACACACACACATATATATATATTATCACTTTAAACGTTATTTTTGGTGGATACTCATATTTGAGTAGACGCCCTGTTTATTTTTTTAAACAGAATATTTATTTTTGACTACCGGTCTGAACATTCGAGAAATCTTATTAAAGAAACAGTTGCATGCTCCGGTAGGAGTCGAATTTGCGCCACGCTTCGCAGAATAAACCGTCCTTAGATGCGATGTGTGACTCAGCAACAAACGACTTCACCGATCAAGCAAGGTCGAAAATTGTCTTATAAATGTAAATATTTCGCAGATTCTCGAAAGTTCATATTTGCACATTTTCGTATCCGAACCTAAACAAAGCAACTTCTAAAGAAGTAATAGATTTTTTTATTTATTTATACGACAGATTGTATTACTTTAAACGCTATTTTTAGTGGATACCAATATTTAAGTAGACGCTCCGTTTATTTTTTAAAGAATATATATATATATATATATATATATATATATATATATATATATATATAGTAGCCGGCCACTCGTATTCGAGGATACCCGTCTATTAGGGCGGCTAGCCAATCCCTATTGTAGACGCTTGCTCAGGCACATTTGTCTTTGTTAAACACCCAGAAAGCCAACCTATGGTTTTTACTGGGACTATGCTGAGCAGACCTTAATTATAATTTCTGGGAGAGAGCGTGTTTAGCATGATCAACAATCTGAACAAGGCCAGCACACTCAAAGCCACGGTCACGATGTCGTTGAATACCCGAAGAAGTTGTTTTACTTTTCATTACAGAACACTGAAGAGCATATTCGATCTCCGACGCTGCAAACGGCATGTGCTGCAACGGATCTGTAAGTCTAGCTAAAAGAATTCCTAAGGGTTCATATCGCACCTTCTAGAGTCATATCTGCGTTGGGGAAGTCCTTCTTTAAATATTAATAAGAAATATACCAAAATTAATAAGCAGAAGAATTATAGACAAATCTTCGAATTTAAGAACATTTAATGAGATAAATGGAAAATATGCAATCATAATGATAATGCTAACCGTTTCCTAATAAGGAAACATTCGACCGAGCATAGCATTAAGGAATAGAAGATATATGGATTAAAATTAAAAGAAAACACAATAAAAATAAAATACAAAAATCTTCAATGTTCTTGGTCCTGCTCTGGCATCTTTGCTTCAGTCCCCTTCCATCCGCCGTAACTTAACTTAACTTCCTCGCGCCTTTTTTATAATTCCTTTCATGGTAATTATTCTGTTGAGTTTTCCTGTTTGATACCTAGACATTATGAATAAGCGCAGTACTAGATTGGCATCAAGATCTCATCATTTTACAGTTGAAATGGTAGATGTAACCGCAAGTTCTATGTCAAAAGTTTCTTCTCTTACACTTTTTGCTTGTGGAAATCTCTTCCGCCTTCTTGCTTTCAAATTTGATTTTCAAAAATATAAAAGAAATGTCAATCGTTATCTCAAGTCTTCTTAATTCCTGTTCTTTTATTGTTCTTGTTCCTTGATAATGTTTTCTTTTTCTACTATTCTCTCACTCAGTAACAACGTTGCGTCTTAGTGGTTTTATGACCTTGCTTAAAATGAAATGATTAAAAAATATGGTTAATTCCTCCATGCTATAAGAATATTGATAAAACATTTTATAAAAATTGATGGACAAAGGTTTCTAAAAATCACACAATTTTAACAAAATCCTTAATAGAAATACGATAAAACGTAATTAGGATAGTATAGATAACATTGATTAAATCGTATAATCTAAAAAAATGCTTGATAACAACAATTAAGAAAAATACTAACAAAAATGTAATTGTAGAAATTAAACCAAAAGTCCAATGCAGGGGACATGCAGGGTTGAAAATGTTATATATAAGGCGATAGTGACAATAAAGGAAAACTCAGGCGAAGTGGAGATTTACAACTGGGAAAGAATTTAAAGAAAGATATGTAAACTATTTGCTATCATATGAAAGATATAGAATAATGCCATGTCTTCAAAACGCATATGAGAAATAAAAATGAAAGGCGAAAGAACAGAAGTAGAATGGCATTAAAAAATCATAAAAACCAGAGGAAGACATTGCACTTTATTGCATAGAGGAGTAGCGGAATTAAACGTAAGTGAATTAATAAACAAAAGGAATTCATTTATTTCGGACTGTCGACACGCTGACGTATTCCTTTTTGAAAAAGGTGATTAAGAACGGCAGAGACTGGGAGTGTCTAAAGGTAATAAACGGCCATTTCTAAAACCACAATGAAATTATAAATATTATTCTCATGCAGACACACACACACACACACACACACACACACACACACACACACACACACACACATATATATATATATATATATATATATATATATTATAAAATGGACTAAGTCTAACAATTTAATATATTTTATTGTTATACTTTATTTACATAGACACAAATATAAATAATATATATATATATATATATGTATATATGTATGTATATATTAATGTATATTTGGGCATCAATCTTTTAAGTATCTTTCGTTAAATAACACAGGCAAGGAAAATTTAACTATATTTTTTATTTATTTTTTGTAAGAATAATTTTATTTGTTTATCAATGATATAGTTAAGGAAATTATTGTTGACTAATGTTTGTTTTATCTGTTTTAGTTCCCTAAGAAATATTCTTTGGGAAGAGGAATTTATGTGTTTTATTTGGGATGTTTTTTTTTTTTTTATTACTGCTATTTCATAACTTTCTGGGTATTGGCTATCATAGTCTAGAAGACAAGAATTCGTATTGGTTCGTTCTATCAAGCTCACCTTATTTAACAGTGGGAATGTAGTGTTGAGAATTTAAAAAAAAAATAGAAAGAGCCTCACTCGAACTCCAGCCGCGCTCAACAAACGAAGTCTCGTAATAAACATTCCTAGTACTATTCAAAACAACACAAAAACATAATTCATCTTAAATAGGCAAAACATCTAAGTCTTTTATGTTGGCAAAATCTATTATAAAATTTCGCTAAATTCAGTATAAATAAACAGCACGAAATATTTAACCTCGAAACAAACAAAAAAAATCTTTACAGTAGCATAACATATCGAACAGACAGTCATTTTGTGAGAGCATTATATATATATATATATATATATATATATATATATATATATATATATATATATATATATATATATATATATATATATATATTCGCTCATTCGAATTATAGCCGCGCTCTATACGTGAAGGATCGAATTAAACGCTACTATAAGTATCCAAAACAACACAAAAATTAAATTACATCTCAAGCAGTCAAAACATGAAGAGAAATTAAGCACACCTAAGCAAACCTCCCTTGAAAATGGCTAAAGAAGTGGCCGAAAGCGCTTGGAACAATGGACAAGATGAACAATTTTTGCACACTTTTTCTGCCAAGGAAAAAATATAACAACGTTGTAAAAACTAAATAGAAATTAATTAAATTTTCCTTGTCTGTCATATTTAAAGAAAGACACGCACGCCCCTCCCACACACACATCTATCTATCTATCTATCTATCTATCTATCTATCTATATATATATATATATATATATATATATATAAATATATATATATATATATATATATATATATATTGTCGAATATTATGGAGAAGTAACATTTTGTAAATTTTTATTCAGTTTTTCTAGTGTCCTTAGAATTTTTTGGCAGTGTATAGAGAAACCTTAACATTTAAAAATGAAAAGTGCTAGAAAAACTGTATGAAAACTTACAAAATATTCCTTATCCGTCATAATCTATGAAACGTGCATAAATGAAGGATTACTGCCTAAATACACAATATTTCTATCTATCTATCTATCTATCTATCTATCTATCTATATATATATATATATATATATATATATATATATATATATATATGAAGGAAATAATGATATGTATATAATGATACGTATATCATAAATATTTATTCATAGACACCCATATATAAATATTTCTATTTCTATCCGGCGGCATTTTTTGACATTATCTCAATTCTTGCCAGAGAAGACTAGAAATCGATATGATGAAAAGTGAAGAATTTTATTTGAAAAAAAAAAAAACAAAACAAAAAAAACAAAAATCTAAGTCGACATTAAATACAAAAATTATATCGCTAATTTAATTCTGATTTTCTAAAGACTGAACATCTTTCCACATATTTTTCTCTCAAAATTAATCTGAACGAGGTGCCAGATAAGATGCAAGGAATTTGACTATATAACATTTTTGTTACACATCTGTATTCCCCTATTTTTCACTACTTCCTTCGAAATTATCCATTAACTTTTTTCGCGTATATTGTTCAAATTATTTTTTAGGGGTCACCTCAGATATAGGCTGCTAAAATATCTGTTCCGATCAGAGTATTTAATATGTTCCTATCTATCTATCTATCTATCTATCTATCTATCTATCTATCTATCTATCTATGTCCCCCTCCACCTATATATACACCGTCTAATAACCGGAGTTCCTTCCATTACAATATACCCCAGTTGATTACCGATCTTCTCCACCTAAGTATACACCACCTGATAACCAGGGTCCTATCCATACAGTATAATCCAGATGATACCGCGGATCTTCAGCTCCTCAGTATAATCTGACTGATTACTAGTATTTCCTCCATTATAATATACTTCAGCTGATTACCGGAGATCTCTTTCACCTCAGTATACGCCACCTCATAGTCGGTGTTCCCTCCATCACAATATACTCCATCTGATCACCGGTGATCCCCTCCACCTCAATATACGTAGCCTGATCACCGAAGTTGCCTCCATTACAATATACTGCAGGTGATCACCGGGGATCTCTTTCGCCTCAGTGTGCACCTCCTGGGCAGCGGAATTCCCTCCATCACAATGTACTCCAGCTGATTACCGAGGATCACCTCCACCTCAATATACTCCGCCTGATCATCGGGGACCTCCTCCACTTCAGTATACTCCGCCTGATCACTAGAGTTCACTCTTTCACAATATACTCCAGCTAATCACCGGAGATCTCCTAATCCTCAGCATACGCCTCCTGATCATCGGATTCCCTCCATTACAATACACTCCAGCTGATTGACCCTTGACACGAAGTGGTTGAGATTGTAGGGTGCGAGAAAGCATATACATGCAGGTGTCTATTCCTCAAAGCAGTGGTTCTTGATATAAAAATCTGGAATTTACAGTTGGAATATGGATGGAATGATATTGTTTCGATTCTGTGAATGTAGTACGGATTGTCTTACATGTAAATGTCTGAACTGGTAGAACTAAAGAATCGAGGTCTTCCCAACATTTACAATAGAAATAAACCTACATTAGCGACAGGCTTACGACGTTGCCCCTGTGGGCAAAAGGCTGCAGGGTACAAAATGTCACGTAAACCACTTTAGAATCTATAAATACTGTAGTGTGGTGATTTAGAGTTCCAACTCAGATACAGCATAAATACTGTATTTTGGGTCTAATCTGACTCTTCTAAGGATAAATGTTATAAGGAGACAAGTATTTTATCAATATCTATAATTCTCAAAATGGGTGTGCGCATGTATGTGTGTTTGTGCGTGTGTGTGTGTGTGTGTGTGTGTGATCGGATGTTGTTTATACGTTTCCACAGTTTTCATCCGATTTAAATGATTTTTTTTTGATAGATAAATTGATTGGCTGGAAGAAATTATAATCTTAAGGGTGAAAAATAAAAAAACACTGATTTTTTTACACTTTGTGCAAAAATCAAAAGCAAAAATTTAATGTCTGTAAAACACAGCGTAAAATTAATGTAGAGAGTTGAAATCTAGCGCAAAAGATTATTAGGATTATAAAAAAAAATTATGAATAAAAAGTATCGTATATTATTATTATTATTATTATGACGGTCCATGGAAGAGGTTCCTTCCTTGCAAGATTCAGAATGCACAAACGGCCCTTTTCAGCGCCCCCGTTCAAATTGTTACCCCCCACCCCATTTGGGGATGTGCCTCAGTTGCACCCAATTGTTGTTACTAATATGGGTTTTCCGGTTGGATGACTTTAAACTTAAACTGCTATTACTGAACGGCAAAAATTCCTAGTAACGAAACACCCAGTCGAAGTCGGGTTATACTGCCAGTGAAGCGATAAAATAAGCCACCTATTTTTACAGAATCTTTTTTTCAACTTTTTATGTCGGGTGAAAACAACATATACCCAATGAAGAACTATATATAAACCTGCCAAAGATTACGGACACAATCTGTGAAAGGCAAGTGTGGTTTAGTTGTCATTACTGGAAAATTAATCAAGAAGCTTATACTACTGGATCCAAAATATTAGAAAAGCTCAAGAAGTAGACAAACAAAGCCTTCATCTATAAACTCATAGATGACACTGGAAACAAAAGCGAAGAAAAAGGTAAAACTATGGTAGGAAATAAAGGGTTGGATATGTTAATTTGCAGATGACCAGAAAGGGATATATCAGGAACTTCTCTCTAGCTAAGAAACTAAATAAATTGCTTGAAGTTAAATATGTTACCAGTGTATGGAAAATATCAACAGAAGCCTAAAAAAACTCACAGTTAGAAGGTGTTTTCTACTAATGATACAAATTTACCCCCCCCCCCCACTGCTCGAAACTGCAGGAAGAATTGAAATTGTTTGTTAAGTATAAAGAACTTCATTCCGAATGTCATTTACCAATCAAATATGGGCAGCACAGATGTACCGGACAGGCATTATATTGAGACAACTGGAGAACTTTAGAGGCAATGTAAAACAACCATTTTGATCCAAACTCTTTATTCGGCCAACAGGGCTAGATAGTTCTAATTGTTTCTATGCTTTTATCTCATGAATTATTTCTGAACTATTGTCATATATCCATATCCTCCCGGAAACAGGAGAATATGAAGTTTCATCACTACTGTTACCAGGAATTAAACATACAACTACGAGAGAAACACTTATGTTTTAACCACTAGTTTCATCTTCTAGGTCATCCAACGATTTTATTTGTTTTATCATCGAACGTTGTTATAATGACTATGCTTTTCTCTCCACGCGTCTCCATGGGTTTCGCTATTATATGAGGAACACTACCAATTTCCTGATATAATGGATGACATTGGAATTCCACTGTGTACGGTTTTGGTACACCATAAAGTCTAGGTATTTTAAGGTGGTATTTTATTTATTTAGTCCATGACTTTTCCTCATTATTAAAGCAATTTCAAATATCTTTATTATATATTATTTCTGAAATTATTTTGCTTTCATTGTTTTTTTTTTCTCATAAATGTTAGTATAATAGATATTTACTCCCCCCATGTATGTCTTTGTATTGATGATTACAAGACCGCAATTTTGTCCGAGAAGGGGATGGATTATTTTCTTTATTTTTGAAACCCATCATATCTGGAATTATTAGTTCGTGTCATAGACTGCCGATAGCCAAGGCAAAGAGTTTAATACCACTTCTTGTAACAACTGACCCTTCGCATATTAAAAATGCAGTCAAGCTCATGGAAAAACGTAGGCGCATGAACATGACAGGTCTTGTTTTGATATGTTACGAACAAATGGTTTTGTTAAAAATGAAAAATTGTGTCCAATCAAAACTACTTGGAACCACTATACACATCGAATCTATTGATAGGTAGAAATGGAACAAAATGAAGTCCTGTTGCCTGGACTGGACTAGAGCTGCTCAATCATCATTTTCCGGCCTTGATGGAACTCAAAATTATTTACGCTCTCTTGTCATTCTTCGCTCAATAAACTCTTTCCCAGAGATACAACATCGCAAGCCTACTATTATTCTATCGCTATCCCCATGGCAAATGTGCAGATGAGTTCTATTCTTTACTTCTACCAGTTTATGCCTTTAAAACTAGCACATGACATACTGCATCCACGTGGTTCAAATAGTAAAAAAAAGTTCCATTTTTTTCTAATAACTACTACTTATCGAAAAAAACAAAACTCCTGCTTTATGCTTCCCAGAACGCTACAATCTCAATATTTACAGGTCAAAAGTCAATGGCTATCAATCCTATATCATATAGGAAGAAAATGAATAACTACCGTGGTTCGATCCTGACGCTCTGGACTTGTGAATATATGTTTTCCGCCAGGTGTATAAATAGCGGTGTCAGGCTACTGACTGGATTGATTATTGAGTAATTATTGAGTGGAACTATCCAGTCGAATTAGTGTGAAATATTGTGCGTCGATGATTTGGGTTTGGATTTAGGACTTACGGGAAGTTAAGCCGAGTCACGTTACTAACAAGGCATTTACTCAAATGGTTAATTATCTTTGGTTGACTTTTACTTCTTTGTTCTTGTTTAGTATTTATTTGCAGTTGTAATTAAATACTGTTTTATTTTAACATTGAAGTCTTGAGTTGTACTTAATTATTAACGGCCAGCGTACGTCATAAAAACCTGATAATCTGAATTTCTTATGACCTCTTTTATTCATAACATAGCACATTCATCATAACCATTTTTTGAGCATTGCATTGAGTGAACTTTTCTATAAGAAATTCAGATATGTTCTTTGCCAATTCAATGCCTGATTTTCACAATGAAATCATAATCTTGATTTAAATATTATGGGTTTCAGACTTTATGCACTGGTTCCTCCTTTTGTTTCGTTCTTTATCGGTTCGACTAGTTTTTCAGCTTACACCTCCTGATTTTGTTCGACATATTCATTTTTTCTATAGATCACATAAAGACATTTTCTTTTCATTTTTTTTTTACTTCGATTACACATTTTTCGTTTCTTTTGATGTTGTCTGCGTTTCTCAATTTCAGGTTCGACTCTCTTCCGGCCCTAACGCGTGTGTTGCATCGACCGCATCGCATCCAACTCACCCTTCACTGCTGTTTCAATTTAGACTCACCATGAATGTTGGGTCCCGTGCCAGACATTCGTAATGTCTTTCGATTTATTTTATCTTTTATTTTAGATATTTTAACGGAAGAAATACAGGGTACTATAGGGTAGCTACTTTGGACTTATTAATTGAATTTGTTTGGTAGCAAGACAAAAGTAAAACATTATACTATCATGAAATATCTGTACTTGAAGTGATCGATAAAGAAATCAATAAAAAAAACTTACTAAGTAATAAAAAAAAACTGAATTTGGCTTCAGTCGTAGAATGTCAAGTTCATCGGCATAATTAGACCTATATTTTACTGACCCTTATCCATGTTAAATATGGCATTAACAGCTTTGGGAAGTGAGGGATTTGACCAATAGCATTTTTAGCCACTTGTTTGTTTCATGAGACATTTTATCAATATATCTGGCAGTAAAGAAGAATGCAAGGAGAATCAGTTTCTTGTTCATGCATTCACTTTTGCTCAAATGCCACTAGGAAAGGTATATATATATATATATATATATATATATATATATATATATATGTTTCTTCTACCACCAGCCTTCAGTCAAGTAAGTAGCAGGGTAGACTGTGTTCCTTTGCTTAGGGTAGCAACCTGTCTAAGAGAAGAATATTCTGAAATCCGAACTTTGGAGAAGTTAACGAATTTTGATAATTCATCGATTATAAAAAAGGTATGTGTTGGAAGTCAAAACCGCTTATATCCTTTATGGAATTAAAAAAAGAAAACAGGCAAATTGAATAATATTCAGATTCAACAGAAATTTAAACACGATTTGACGATTCTATCATAATTACAAAGAAGTTTTAATCCACAAAGAAACTCGACTATTTTCGAAACACACAGACATACAGAAATAAATATAAAATATGTCTATGCCAACTCTGTTTACACTGTAACTCGATATAAAGCATATTTTCCAGTGCGCATATATATATATATATATATATATATATATATATATATATATATATATATATATATATATCGGCTGGGCAGGCGGGCCCAGCGTGCGGCATATTTGGAATGTCTTGTGTGTGAAATTAAGTAGATAGAACAAGTGTTGAGAAGCCGAGCGTACATGCACCTCAGTTATATTGGGTGTAC